CCACCATCTCCCTCCCCTCTCTCTCTCTCTCTCACTCTCCTCTCTAAACTTACAACTTCTATATAATTAATGTAAAGAAAAGTTATAAAATTTCTAACTTTAACGAGACTAAATGAAATTATAAGTTTTATAATTATGTTCTCACTATTATGATAAGTTCTCATCTATTTAATTATTTCAAATCAGCTTAAGAAATAAAACCTAAACTTATAGTATAAAACAATTATAACTAATATAAACAAAATTTATAAGTTATCAAATGAAACTGTAATTTTAAGTTATAGTTAGTAGCTATAACAAAATTTATAAGTTATAGCTACTACAAATAGACTAAATGAAACTGTAATTTTATGATTATCTTTTCTCACTATAATAATAAGTTCATCTATTTAATTATTTCAAACCAGCAATATAATTTAAGAAACATAATCTAAGTATATAACTACTATAAATAATCTAAAAGAAAATTATAAAAATTGTAACTTATCAAGTATATAGCTACTATAAATAGACTAAATGAAAATTTAAAATTTATGATTATGTTTTCTCACCATTATAATAAGTTCCTATTTAATTATTTCAAATCAGCAATACAAAGAAACAAAATCTGAACTTATAGTATATAACTACTAGAAATAATCTAAAAGAAAATTATAAAATTTATAAGTTATCAAGTATATAGCTACTTTAAATAGACTAAAATGAAATTATAAATTTTATGATTATGTTTTCTCAACTATTATAGTAAGTTTCATCTATTTAATTATTTCAAATCAGCAATATACTTTAAGAAACAAAATCTAAACTTATTACTATATAACTACTAGAAATAAACTAAAAGAAAATTATAAAATTTATAACCTATCAAGTTTATGTAGCTATAAATCGATATGAAATTATAAATTTATGATGAGAAAGAATGAGAGAATCAATGAATGAATAGTTGAGCAGCATCAGCACAAACGTAGACATAGAGAGGAGACATCTCTCAGGAAACAAGAGAATTAACACTTCGAACGAAAACGTAGAAGAGAGGATGAGAGATTGACGAGGGAGGGGAAGAGTGAGGAAATTATTTTTTCTTTTTTTGGATCAAAAGTGAAGAAATTATTATGCAACCAACGTTCGTATATATATATAGGAGATGGAGTTTTTTTGAAAAATGTTACCGTTTCGTTGGATAAATGAAAAGTTGCCATTTTGTTAAATTTAACTTTTAAAATATGATTTGTGTTTTTCTTTTATTATTGCCTCTGTTCTTCTCGAATGTAGAGATTTCTATTTTTTTATTGTTAAAGCTTGGTTGACTTGTCTTCCTACAAACTTTTTTGAAAAAATGTTACCGTTTCGTTGGAAAATGGAAGTACCGTTTTGTAAAATTTAAATTTAAAATGTTATTTGTGTTATTATTATTTGCCTCTGTTCTTCTTGAAAGTTGTGATTTTATTTTTATTATTATTAAATCTGGTTGTTACCGTTTTGTTAAATTTAATTGGGATAATGTGTAAATTACCCTATTATCAGTTTGATATTTGAAAATTACCTCTTCTATTTTAGTTTTTGAAACCTATACCTTATTCAATGTGAATTTACATTTTTATCCAAATTGGATATTTCAATAATTAAAATATAATTCGAAATTAATAATAACATGGGGAATTATTAATATTTAAGAAAAATATGTATGTTGAGATAAATATGGTATTTTAGCAATAAATTTTTAAAAATAACAAAGCTATTCATAAATAAAATAAATAAAATAAATTGTGAATTTTTTGACTTTATCATGAAATTTATACAAATTTTATTTTATTTTCTTAATTTTATATAAACAAGTTTACGTCTCTCTACAAAAATATTCATTATTCCTAGAAGTCAATATATCTACCCGTAAGTTCTTAATGACTACTAACATTTATTATAATTAAGGTTTAATTTCTACATCGACATCTATTGTATATTATTTCCTATATTATTTTCAAACACAATATGGGAAAATATTGTGTAGATTCTCTAACAATATTTCAAAAAATATTGTACGTTGTGTCTTTAACGATTTTTTCCTTTCTTTTTAAAACAGTTTTAAAAAAACTATATTAAGAATTAAGGAATAATTAAGATTGGACAATTAAGTAAATTTACATATACATAAGTATATTTTTCCAAAAACTTAAATAAAGGTGTAGTGTTCAAATTATAATCACATTTCAGTGTATTTTTCCAAATTTCCCCAATTTAAAATGTTATTTGTGTTTTTTTTTATTATTGCCTCTGATCTTCTCGAAGTAGTGATTTTTTATTATTATTAAATCTTCGTTGACTTGTCTTGATAAATTCTGTTTTTAAATCGTCTATGTTTCTTCAGTTCATTTAAATTAATCAAGTAAGTTAAGATTCTTCTTTATCTTTGGAAGTAGTGGAAAAAAAAAAAAAAGTTACGTGGGGACCCAACAATCTAGAAACCATTCTCAGCCAAACATTGGGCTATTCTACAATTGTTTTGGAGTTTAATTAACAAAATGTAGAGGTGTATTTATTTACATTTTGTTAATTTAGTTTGATACATGATCAGTGTCAACAAGATAAAGATAAAAGATGATCTACTCTTCAGTCACGTACCTATTCTTCCTTGCTCCCAATGCAACTCTCTGAAACAAATCCACAAGAGAATGGTTTAAGTATTTTTTAGCAGATATCATTTTCACCTGTCAGATATCTCTATCTACTTTAACTATTATCGCTTCTTAACTGAGAATATTTTGGTATAGGCTTTGATTCCGGTTAGGAAGCGTATGTAAGTCGGCTTCATAGATCCGCTAGCTGGTATTGCTCTAATGTTCGGGACAAGATACTCAGCAACCTGAAGATATGGGACTAGAGATTAGACATCATGGTGGGAAGAAAATAAAAAGAAGAATGAGATTTTTTGGTTTCTTACCACTTCAGCTGGCTCTGCCAAAACATTAATGAAGAACTTGGCCTGCAATAGAGAAAGGTATTTTAGAGGAATCTCTTGGAAAGTAATCTAGAATTTTTTGTTTTTGTGTATTAGAGATCATCCAACTTGTTTTGTTGTAGCTCCGGACATGAGTAGATCAGTTGTAACCATTCCAGGCTGCAACACAAATAACACAAGAGAAAACATATTGCAGTTATGATCATTGTTTATATATTGGTCTATCTTCTAAATTCCATATCTTATAATATGCATACCGATAGATTGTGCACCACAACATTTTTAACATCTTGCATCTGCAACTCTGCCTATTTAAAAAAAAAAAAAAACAGAGACAACTTAAGTGATAAGGACAAAGAACGACAAGTTAAAAGAGATAGAACAATGGCATATTACTTGTAATGACTTTGTCAGGTGAACAACACTTCGTTTTGTTGCACCATATGCAGCAAACCTGTGTCAACATTAGTCAAGATATTGACATTATACATCACAGACAAGAGAGCCTAACACATATTCCCTAAGAAACTTCAAGGGATATAAGAAACCTGGGTGTTGGTCTTCCATCTGAGCCAGCTCCATCGATGTTGAAGATATGACCACCTCTAGATTGAGTCAACATCATATTCATCGCCTATGATGCATAAACACATGTCAGCCACAATCCAAAACCTATAATAGCCTAATAATACATGCTGAATTGATTCATCCACATACCTCTCGGCAACATAACATCAGCCCAAGAGTGTTTGTTTTCACAACTTCACTGGAAAAAAAAACATTAAAGAGTCAATAAACATAGAACACAACAAAGAAATGGATCAAAACTTCAAACAGAGACTTACATAAGATCCTCATCAGAGGCCTCAGACAAAGGTTTAAAGCTGTATGCATTAGATCCAGCATTATTAATCTGTATCATCATCATCATCTCAAGAAAGTATTAAGACAATGCACACACACAACATGAGCTAGATCATTGAGAAAAAAAGAAAGATGTTATATACCCAAATATCAATGTATTTAAGATTCTTCTGACAATAACCTACAAGCTCCTTCACATCCTTCCCTTCTCTAACATCACACTTAGTTCCCTGTCCCCAATGGTTTAAACATATTAACATTTCATGATATATATATCATTACTAGCAATAAAAACATGTAATGGAAAAAGGAATTAGTACCCACACATGCTCCCCATATTCTTCCTTAAGACTCTGAACAACAGACTCAACTCTTTCAGCTACAGAACATAGAAACAGAGTCATTAAACATCACAAGAAGAATCTAATTTCTCTTACTATCCCCCACACACACACTTGTTTGATACTACTCTTACCTGATCTAGAACATATGACAACGTTGTCTCCTGCTTTCAGAAACTCTTTAGCTAACGCATGTCCTATTCCTGAAACAACCACTATTCAAAGTTAAGCAAGGGATCTCAAAACCGAGAAAGAGTAAAAATCAATGTGAAAACCTTTGGTAGAGCCAGTGATCAAGACGTTATAAGGAGGCGTCATCGGTTCTCTTTCCCCTGAGATGCGACCTTCCACCACTTTATACTGCGGAGAAACCGATACGTTTTGGCGCGAAACAGTTACAGTTGCGAGACCGAAGCTTTCTGCTAGTGAACTACGACCGTTACGAGTTGATGAGAGAAACGGAGTTTGAGTGGCGTATGAGACAGAGGAAGAGCGAAGTCTAAGTAAAGGAGAAGAGGAAGAGACATGATGGAAACCACTTGACGCAGCCATTGCAGAGATGAGAAGCTGAAACAGAGAGAAAGAGAGTTTCAGAAGGAAGCGCCTCTAGAGAAATATGCCACGTGGCGACATACAAGATTATGATATTGTTTAAATTACACCAAAAGTCCTCGGATGTTTGGTATTTTATGTTTCTAGTCCTATATTATTTTTTCTCACTAAATGACACTTTAATTTCTTGATAATATGATTAGAAAATTAATTTATGTTTTAGCATATTATATCACCAAACTTTATTGTATTTTTGGAATATATTACAGCTACAAATTATAAAAGCACTCCTTTCACACAACTTTGTTCTTCATCATTCTGGTTTGCTAGGAGGTGATGAAGAAGAAGATGATGAGCAAAAGGTATAAGAAACGTAAGCTCCAAGAGCAAAGATAACAAGAGCAGCTACTCCTGTATTCATCATCAACTTCTTATCTTCTCTTGTTATCTCTTTTCCTCTTCTTTTCTCCATCATCCCTTTCTCTATTTTCTTTTCCTTCTCAACCAAGTAACCTAGTTTCTCTTCTGCTGGTTTCACGACCTCTCTTGCTCTTTCAGACACAGGTTTGGTCCCAGAACCGGAGATGGGTTTTGTATAGTCTACTTCTGGAAGCAACGGCTTTATTATCTTCCTTTTTCCTACAGATTCATCCACATACTCTAGTGAAGCTTCTTCCACACGCTTCCTCTCCTGAAGCTTCTCTTTTGCTATGGCCTCTTCTTGAAGCTTCCTTGCTGCCTCTTTTGCTATAACTTCTTCTTGAATCTTTCTCGCCTCAGCCAACTCCTTTGCTTTAGCTTCTTCTTGCAGCTTCCTAAGTATACCTTCTTTCTCTTCCAGAAGCTTCTTTTTCTTCTCAGCCTCTTTTTCTTTCCTTCTAGCTTCTTCCAACACCCTCTTCTCCTCTAGCTGCTTCACCTTCTCAGCCACAGTTTTAGAAGTGTCTGGAATGTTAGGCGTCTTTGTAATAGTCTCCTTAGGCATGGTAATGGTGAGGGCATTGTTCTTGAGACTCCCATGGATCTTATCCACTAGACAATTCTGTGGAACAGTGAACACTTCGTTGACACGGCTCCATCTCCTATCACCCAAAGGACGTTCTCCTGTGACTCTTATCATCCTTGAGGTGTGCACATACGTTACCTTTATTTGCTCCTTTGTAAAACCTTTTTAAAAAATGATTTAACAACAGAACTAGACCACCACAAATAGTACTATGAATATATTATTGTATATATACCAACCTGGAAGATCAATGGTGAGAATAGTGGCCTCAGGCTGATCTTTCCATTCAGATTTGGGGACAAGATCCTCATACTGCTGTCTTCCTGCCATTACTTTTGTTTCTGAATTTGTTGTTTTGTTTGAGTTTTTTTGTGAATATCCATTAGGGTTTTACTGCTCTGCTTATAAATAAGATTGAATTTCTGCAGGACTTTAGCCATTTTCTATTGTGTTATGCAATGGATATTCCTAGTTTTGCGGCTATGTCTTCTGTTCATCTAAAAAAAAAACTCTTCTTTAGTCTCAGGTCATCATCACAATGTTTCTTCTCTTACAAAGAAAGCATCAAGGTTGCTTTACTCACAAGTTTGTACCTTGTGTTCCCCATCTGACGTCAGTTTCATCAGGTGAGAGGAGTTGTACCATTTCTTTTTTGGGCATGGCAATCTCCATGGATGTATCTGCCAAGGACTTGGCTTCTTTCACTCTATGAACAACGTTGAATATAAAGTGGTTTAAAAGTAATTGCCAGTCGAAATTCAAGAACTTGAATTTAATCATTTAAGAATGTTCCAGGTTGCAATAACTCTAAGCATAACATGACAGCGATTCATGATCTCTTTAGTTAGGCTACAAGAATTAGAAAAAAAACAAAGTAGCTCTCACGATCAGATAAACCGAAACAATGATCTACTCCAAGCGTTTGTAGCTTTTTATGCTCCTCAAACTTGGGAAGAGAAACAGACAAAATGTAGCAGAAACAAGGACTGTGATTAAGTCTGGCTTGGTGACAGCAGCAGAAGCTGAGGTTGACCTGTTCACAACCAAACAAAGGTGTTAAGGATCATAAACTCATGTTGAAGGAACATAAGAAGCTGTGTGAAGGATTTTACCTAGCAACAATGCTCGCACCAGACTCAGTTTCAAGACCAGTCCCATAAGCAAAGAGCGGGTCATAATGTGAATCACCATAGTTCATAGGCAACTGCTCTGTGTTTCTGAACCATGTAATAGGAAGTTTCCCACTAAAGCCATGGTCTCCAAAGAGAGCATCAGTGATACCTTGGCCTTCTGTTCCCGGTAGCCAAGCTGCAACCAATGCCTCAATAGAGGCAACATAAGGCTCCATCACAAGTGGTCTCCCTGAAACGACCACAACCACACATTTGACAGCCTGACAGGTAGAGGTAACAATGGCTGGACCAGGGTCCATCATGGTTAGCTTGTCGTTGTCTCCAGCTGTCTCTGCGTATGGAGGTTCACCAACAGCAATGATTGCGTAAGAGAAGTTGTTTGATTTGATGAATTCAGCATCTGGATTCTCGTTGAAGATGACTTCAGTGCTTTTATCAACAGCTGATTTTACAGCGCCAAGGATAGTAGTTCCTGCAAATCAGAAGATGGTATAATGTTAACACTTGTATAAACTATAACAAGAGTTGCATACACAACTTACCCCTTGTATTCTTGTTACCGCTAAACCCTTGCCAAGTTATGGTCCAACCACCACACTGATAACCTAAATTATCAGCGTGAGTGCCAGTGACTAGGATCTTTGAAGTCTTCCTGGGAAGTGGGAGCATAGGATTGTTTTTGTTCCCGTTTTTAAGCAGCACAAGTGATTTCCTAACAGCTTCCCTTGCCAAGTCTCTATGTGCCTAATAGAAAATTGAGTAACATTAATATACTTGCAACAGGTTCTATCTAGGTCAGGGAATAATACTAAAGCAGCAGACTGACCTGGCTTCCTAGTTCATTTGAAAAGCTGTAATCAGCTAAAGGATTCTCAAAGAGACCCATGGTGAACTTGACACGCAGGATTCTTCTTACAGCATCATCAATCCGTGTGATAGGAATCACTTTGTTCTTCACTAAAGAGGTGAGATCATTGACGAACTCAGTAAAGTTGAAAGGGACCATGACCATATCTATGCCAGCTTCAATTGCAGCTTGGACAGAAGCTGTGTAGTTCGAATGTGGCGGTGAAGAAATCTTATCAACGCCTTGCCAATCCGAAATAACAAAACCCTGCAAACAAACATAGCACAAAAAGGATTCAAAGTAGAGCAAGCAAGAACAACACAAAGAGTATTTGCATGTTATCTTCTCACCTTAAACTTAAGGGTACCCTTGAGATAGCCTGTAATGAGCTTAGTATTAGCATGCATCTTCTCACCGTTCCAGCTAGAATAAGAAACCATCACTGTGGAAACACCTTTGTAAATTGCATCAGCATAAGCAGGCATGTGAATGCTGAGAAGACTGTGGAGATCAGTCACTGTGTTGTTCTCGTTGATTCCTTTGGTTGTCCCACCATCTCCCACATAATGCTTGGCACAAGCTGCAACTTTATCCCTACATTGAAAGAATGAACATTACTTTTGAAAGGCTAATATAAACTCACACAATAAGTTAGCAGCAAAAAAACTTTTTACTTTCCACCAACGAAGGGTGTTCCATGCTTATAGTTGGAAGGAGGCTCTCCTTGTAAACCAAGTATGATATCAGTCATGTTCTCCACAACTTTGTGATCCTCTCCGTAGCTCTCATAACATCTACCCCATCTGGGATCTCTACAAACCTACAACAAGTAAGTGAGAACACAGCTTTAGAAAAAGACCATAAGTATCAAAGATCTGCAAAAGGTTAGGCAATTTACTGCAATGCAAGGAGCAAACGTGTAAGGAATCCCAGTGGCTCTGACTTCTACTGCAGTTGCTGCTCCAATCCTCTTAACCAGGTCAGGATCCCTGTGAAAAAAAAAAAAAAATCCATCAGCATACTGACTTGGAGCTAGAGAATCAAAACTGAAGTGTTAAACTAAGACGACTTGCCTGGTGGCTCCAAGACCAACATTGTGAGGGAAGATGGTAGCGTTGAAGACATTGTTATGGCCGTGAACAGCATCAATGCCATATATCATAGGAATGCCCAAACGGCTCACAAGAGCTCCTTTCTGATACTCATTGATCATATCAACCCAATTCTGAGCAGTTGCCTCAGGTAGTGGAGAGCTCCCACCACCACTCAGTACACTTCCTGTACACAACCAAAAAAAAGACATCTCCTATTCTCAAGTTTCACAAATACAGAGACACAATACCAAGTAAAATTATGATAAAGCTTATCTACTTTTATAATAACAAGATGACCCAAAAGGATTATTTTTTTTGCATACCAATGAAGTAATCTCTCATAATGTTGACAGTGGCAACACTTTTATCAATCTGAACCATCTGACCAATCTTCTCTTCAAGAGTCATTCTACCCAACAAATCCACAACTCGATCTGAAACCTTGTGTTTGGGGTCTTTGTACAGCACATACTCTCCTCCTTCCCCATTACAAACCCACACACAACAACACATCCATAGAACAATCCCAACAATCCTTACTGGAACTTTGCTCATCTTACGTAACAGGAGGCAATTCTGGAAAGAAACAAAGAGAGAAAACTCAAGGTAAGAAAGAGCTCTCACTTCTTAAAGATTCTTCTAAGCAACCAAACAAAAAAAGGAACAGTTTTTCATCAGTTAGTCAAGATAAGAAAACAAAAGAGCAAACTTTTTTGAGATTTACTGTTTAGAGTTTCAACAGACACATGATTAAAAAGATCTTTACTCATTTTCTTCCTTAGAGAATCCATAAAGTATATACTCAAACAAGATTCAATCTAAGCAAAGTATACATTGAGGGAAAGAAAATGCAAGATCTCAACCAGTTGAGTGGCAGAAAGAAAGACGAACTCAAGTGATGAGAGCACACAGAAATTATCTGCAATTCTTACTAAAGAACTAAGAGTGATAAAAGAAGTAGTTAATAAACGCGTTTCATGTAGTTAACAAGTGATTGAGCGAGAGAGAGTGAGAGAGTAAAGAAGGACGTATTTTGATGCAGTTGTTTGTTGTTGTTTGTGTGTTTTTTCTTGAGACGTGGGTTGGCTCACGTTTTTCCACACAAAACATCTCTCTGTACCAAACTATACGGCAAAACGACGACGATGACCAAAAGCGGCGTCGTTTTCTTTATTAAAAGACTTTCTTTCTTTTTCATTATTTTAATTCCGAAAAATATCCTATGCTTTTTTTTTTTTTTTGCAACTTCGAAAAATTGCCTATGCCTCGATTGAGAATAGTTTAAGAATTGTTCCCAAAAAAAAAAAAAAAGTTTGATAATGTTGTGTGAGAGTGATCCTATGTTCTTGCAAGTTCTTGGAGCATATAGTTTAGATACTACACTGGATGAAAAAATGATTCAAGGCTGCATGTTTTAATTCTCTTCAGAACGTTACAAAGGCAGTGGCAAACTGTGGTTAGAGTACCTTATAATAAAAAGTGATAAAATAGTTAATGATGTAATCTAATATAATTATACATATTAATACAAAAAAATGAATTTAAGATATAGTTTTAAGAAATACTGTAACTAAACTATTCTACAATTTACTATAACAAACTAATAATACATATTGACAAGAATTTTATAAGTGAATATCTCACCAACAAAGACACAAAATTAACATAAATCTCTTAAATTAAAAAAAAATATTAATTTTATATTGATGAGAGATTTAATAGATCTCTCATCATTAATAATGCTCTTAAACGCTTTTAGAAGTTGCCAGAGATTGAAGAAAAGGTTGGGACTTTGGGTAAGAACAAATTAATTAAAGACAAACCGCAGCGTAAAACTCGGGTCGATAGATAAAAACATACACAAAGACAAAAGACTAAACGCGTCTTTCAAACTGGTTTAGTCTTTCTTCTTTGTTCATCTCTCTTCTCTCCTCAAAACCTTTGACTCTCCCAATTAAATTAACAAATGTCCCTACGGTTTATGCAACTGTAGTGCTATTAAACTATCCCTCTACATTTCTCCTCATTTTTTTCCTTTACTCCCCCCTCAGATCTCTCTGTTTTTGCTCTGTTCTGGGTTTGGTTCATTGCATCCTTCTCTGTTCTGTGTTCGTTTCAGTTCACAAACTTTACGATAGAAAGGATTTGACTTTCTGTTCTGAGTGTATCAGCTCATCTGTTGTAGAAATCTGAAAGCTTTTGTTTTTGATTCGTGAACTTCGTCTTAGCATTGAAAGGATTTGACTTTCGTGAAGATTAGATTTGTTTTGACTCGTTTTGTGATCAGATCTTGATGCTGTTTTTTTGGATAAAAGAGATTTAAGAATTAGATGGGTAATACTTGTGTTGGACCAAGTAGAAATGGTTTCCTTCACTCTGTTTCTGCTGCTATGTGGCGGCCACGAGATGCAGATGACTCTGTTTCTCAGAGCAATGGAGATACTGCAAGTGAAGCTGTTTCAGGAGAGCTTCGTTCTCCATCTTCATCTGATCAAGTCCTGAATAAACCTCCTGAACAGCTCACTATGCCAAAGCCAGGGGAGACTAACATTGAGATAAAGGCCAAAGATGATGTAAAGATTCAGCCTGAAAGCAAGCTGGAAACACAAGAGGAGACCAAGGAAGAGACCAAACCAGAGACTAAGGAGGAGACCAAGCCAGAGACTAAGGAGGAGACAAATGCTAATGCTCCGGATAAGCCTAAGAAGCCCAAAAACATGAAGAGAGTGACCAGTGCAGGTCTCAGGACTGAGTCAGTCTTGCAAAGGAAAACTGAAAACTTTAAGGAGTTCTATTCCTTAGGAAGGAAACTAGGACAAGGGCAATTCGGGACTACTTTTCTATGCGTGGAGAAGGCCACAGGGAAGGAGTTTGCCTGCAAGTCCATTGCTAAGAGGAAGCTGTTGACTGATGAAGACGTGGAAGATGTGAGAAGAGAGATTAGGATAATGCATCACTTGGCTGGTCATCCAAATGTTATATCCATCAAAGGAGCTTATGAGGATGTTGTGGCAGTGCACCTTGTGATGGAGTGTTGTGCAGGTGGTGAGCTTTTTGATAGGATTATTCAACGAGGTCACTACACTGAGAGGAAAGCAGCTGAGCTGACTAGAACCATTGTTGGAGTTGTGGAGGCTTGTCATTCTCTTGGTGTTATGCATAGAGATCTCAAGCCTGAGAATTTTTTGTTTGTGAGTAAACATGAAGATTCCCTCTTGAAGACTATTGATTTTGGACTGTCAATGTTCTTTAAACCAGGTTTGGATTCATCGTTTGTTACTTATCCTTAATCATTCAGTTTCAGTATTTGTGATTCTGTTCCATTCTCTTTGCAGATGATGTTTTTACAGATGTTGTTGGTAGTCCATACTATGTAGCTCCTGAAGTTTTGAGAAAGCAGTATGGTCCTGAAGCTGATGTGTGGAGTGCTGGAGTGATTGTCTACATTTTGTTAAGTGGAGTTCCTCCTTTCTGGGCTGGTAAGAAGTGTATATATAACATAAAGACAGTCTCTCACTTGTCCTAGGCTCTGATCAAAATCTTTTGTTTTTTTTCTCTGAACATTCAGAGTCAGAACAAGGTATTTTCGAACAGGTTCTCCACGGTGATCTTGACTTTTCATCTGATCCCTGGCCGAGCATATCTGAAAGTGCAAAAGACTTGGTGAGGAAAATGCTTGTTCGGGATCCAAAGAAAAGACTAACTGCACACCAAGTTTTATGTAAGTTATTTCGATCTAAAGCCTTTCCTGTTAGTTTAGCAATGAAGTTTCAAGATATATTGTCATGTAGAGTGCATTTGTGACATGGTTCTATCTCTCATGAAGTTTTTGCTTGTGAACAGGTCATCCATGGGTACAAGTGGACGGTGTGGCGCCAGACAAACCTCTGGACTCTGCTGTTCTGAGCCGTATGAAGCAATTCTCTGCAATGAACAAGTTCAAGAAAATGGCTCTTAGAGTAAGTGGATTCTCTTCTTCTTGTTATGTGTGGAAGGAAAGAGACAATGCAAAGGTTAAGTTTAATATATTTTTATGCCTTGTTGTATGTAGGTGATTGCTGAGAGCTTATCTGAAGAAGAAATAGCCGGTTTGAAAGAAATGTTTAATATGATAGATGCAGACAAAAGTGGTCAGATAACTTTTGAAGAACTGAAAGCAGGACTAAAAAGAGTAGGTGCTAATCTCAAAGAGTCTGAGATTCTCGACTTGATGCAAGCTGTAAGTCATAACCTCCCTTGACATAGTTCTGTGTTTTTGCTTGGATTTTTGTAATTGATCTGGTATGTCTGTGAATGTGAATTTCAGGCTGATGTGGACAATAGTGGAACAATAGACTACAAAGAGTTCATAGCGGCAACATTGCATTTAAACAAAATAGAGAGAGAGGACCATTTGTTTGCAGCCTTTACATACTTTGACAAAGATGGGAGCGGTTATATCACACCGGACGAGCTTCAACAAGCTTGTGAGGAGTTTGGTGTTGAGGATGTCCGCATAGAAGAGATGATGCGTGATGTTGATGAAGACAATGTAACCTCCTTTTATCATCTCATCATATGACTTGAATAATCTTGCCTATTGGATATAAAATATTGGATTGAAATGGTTGTTGTGTTATTTTGGCAGGACGGGAGAATAGACTATAACGAGTTTGTGGCGATGATGCAAAAGGGAAGCTTGACAGGAGGAGGAGGTCCAGTGAAGATGGGACTTAGAGAAAAGCTTTAGCATTGCTCTTAAAACTCTTTAAGTTTCAATCTCTGTTTTAAAGTTACAGAACCAAAAGACAAAAGAGTTTCTTCTGAAAATATATATGATTTTGTTGTATTGAAGACAAATGCACAAGCCAAGATTCTCAATCTTTTTTTGAATGAGGTTTTGTCTTAAGACTTCTGTTTCGAAACTTGATTGGTTCTTTTTGATTAGGTATCTCCAAGGAAAAGAGAAAGTATAACTTTTAGAGAACAAGAGAAAGTAATATCTTCTTAACCTAATAAAGAAAGAAACCATTGATTTGAACAAGCTTCATGACAGAGATTGCCAAGAAGAACACTGAGCTGTTCAACAACGACCAATGCAAAAATATTTAAATAAAATAAAATCATGAAGACTATTTGCATCTTCAACTTGTTACTAGTAACTTCTACGCAAGTGCAGCAATTGAAAATTTCAAAGTCTCTTTACTCGTTTTCTCTCAAGTATTATGATTTTTTTTGGGTAAAATTTAATTATTAAAAAATAAGAGATAAAGAGGTGAATATAAATAACTCTTTTATAATGAGGAAATCGATAAATACGGAATTCTTGTAAAAAGGCAAAAGCTTCCTCTTCAGATTCTCGAGCTCTCCAGGACAAGTCTTGTTGTTTGTGTCTTTGATATCAATCTGTCTGTTTTCGTAAGAAGATGAAGAGAATATTCGGTGCGAAGAATAACAAAGAGCCTCCTCCTTCCATCCAGGATGCCTCGGATCGGGTTTGCTACATCCCTTCATCTTTTCGATTTCTCGTTTTCTTAGTAGTTTTTACTAATCTTTAAGAGGAATGTAGAGAAGAACTAGGGTTTGGTAATACTGTTCATATCTATAGATGCAGAGTTTATGGTAGAGATGATAAGAGTGAAGAGTTTTGCGAACTTGTAGCTTTTGTTTGGTCTTTTATATCCCTTTTATCTTGTTTTTTTTTCAATTCAGATCAATAAAAGAGGAGAATCTGTAGAAGATAAGGTTAAGAGACTTGACGCTGAGCTCTGCAAATACAAAGACCAGATCAAAAGAACCAGACCTGGTCCTGCTCAGGAAGCTATCAAAGCTCGTGCTATGCGTGTTCTCAAGCAAAAGAAAATGTAATAGAGAGAGATAAGATCATCCTTGTTCATGTTTCTCTCAAGTGGTTTAATTAATGTTTTTCTTTTGTTGGTATTAGGTATGAAGGACAACGTGACATGCTTTACAATCAGACTTTCAACCTTGATCAAGTTTCTTTTGCTGCTGAAGGCCTCAAAGATGCTCAACAAACTGTATCTATCTACTGACTTCTCTTATCTCTTCCTATACATATGAATCTTATGATAGGTTTATGTACATGAATGTTGATGAATCTTGTAAAAACCTTACTTAACTGCAGATGACAGCGTTGAAATCTGCTAACAAAGAGTTGAAAGGAATGATGAAAACCGTCAAGATTCAAGATATTGATGTACGTTTTTTGTGTTTTTTTTTGTTATTAGAGCTCTCTTGTTAGCTTATATTCTTTATTTTACTATGGATTGTTTATTGTATCACAACAGAATTTACAAGATGAGATGATGGACTTAATGGATGTGAGTTCCGAAATTCAAGAGACACTTGGTAGGAGCTACAATGTTCCTGATGACATTGACGAAGATGACCTCATGGGCGGTAAAAGTCCTTATAACATCTTTTTCTCAGTAAGTCACTTGTGAGTAATCTGTAGAAACTTTATGTGTTTGTTGTGAATGAGCCAGAGCTTGATGCACTTGAAGCTGACATGGGAAACGAGACTGAAACAGACGGTGTCCCTTCCTATCTCCAACCCGATACAGAACCGGACCTTGATGAAGGACTAGACTTGCCTCCACCACCAACGGGGAGAACACAAACAACAGGAACTCAACCTGGACGAGCTCAGGCTGAGGATGAATGGGGATTACCTGCTGTACCACGTGCATCACTTCGTGGATAAACCCACACCTTTTGTTTGTGTGCATTCACAAATTTCATCTCCAAGCTATTTCACCAGTCAAAACTACAAAGATTTTTATAATTTCCGTTCTCAATGTAATCATACATTTTGTGCATACACATTGGATCTAGATTCTTCAGATTGATAGCTTCTAAAGTCAAATAGACTGAGTCTTCCATGGCAAATGGGGTAAGATTATACTACTACAACATTAGAATCCCAACCACAAAGTAGGATACATTTTTATACAAACACGAATTCTTCTAACTGATCACCTCTTCTATAATTCTCTCTTTAGCCATTAAACCAACTTATCTTATACCTTGCGTACAAATTGTAAGTTGGTTTAGTGGCTAAAGAGAGAATTATAGAGATCTAACCGTCTAGAATTGTAAGACACTTCCTAGAAAATGTAGCGATATGCTTTGATAGTATAATGGGGGGAATGTCTTAACATTTAATCAAAGATTGGTGAAGTTGAAGAAATTGATGTAGAAGCATAGGAAGTAAATGTCATAACACCAATAATGCATGAAGATTATTTAGGTAGAGATTAGGTAATGGGCAAGAAAAGTAAGAAACGATGGAATAAGTGAAATGTAGTTATTTTTTAAAAAAATTGATATATATTTTAAAAAATTGAATTTGGAAGCTTTTAAATTTTTTTTAAAAAACTTATAAATATTTTGACTAAAAAATAAAATATAAACTCAATTTTAAAAATTAGTTGTATTAAAATGAATAAAATTATTAGTTAAGAAATTAAACTAGATAACACAAAAATAGGTATTAAAAAGATTAACGAAATTTAGTTGAAGTATTGCTTTTATAAAAAAAAAAAATTTAGTTGAAGTATTTCTTTTATAAAATTTTATATTAATTTTAAGAAAGAAAACTCATGAAACTGAAGACACATGTTGTTTTTCAAGTTGCAAAGCACAGAAGCAATAAGTGACCGCACAAGTTAACCATCTACAATACAGTTCATATGTAAAGTTTTAAATGCTCGGTTGGAATAATCAACGGGTCAAAGAAGAAGCACATATGGATATGATTGCGCCACGTGGAGGCTAGTCCACCACGATCCATTGCAAAACATCATTACTTCCCTCGCTTCCTTCAGTTTCGTAATTCATTTTTCAATCTAATCTTTCAAACAATCTCTGTACACATCCATGGAAAAACACAATAATCCAAGTCCAGGTTCGTTCTATTTCTTATATACAAAGCTTTTACTTGTATGGATCTGATTGATGATGGTCGTGGGATGAGGAGGCTCTTCATCTTCTTCCTTCTTGGATCTGATTATTATTGATGAATAAATTAATTATCCTCTGTTTTGTGTTCTGTTAGGTGAAAGTGGAGCGGCAGCAATGGATCCGGCGAGGGAATGCGAGGGAAAAGGAGCTTGTGAATTCAAACAGTCTCGACTCGCTGATACAATCATCCCTCATATCCTCAACTTGTGAGAGCCCTCTCCTTTTTTTTTTATGGCTTCTAATGTTTATTGGTTGTCCACTTGATTATGGTGATTTGTAATTGGCATGGCTCTTTTTCATTAAGCTTTTCATCCATGTGATTGTATTTGTCTTAAGGCTTTACTCATTTTTACTTGTTCCTTGCTTCCCAAGTCACATATTTTTATATTAGAATGTTTGTTTTCCTTATCAAACATAGGCACTCTGTCAATTTTATACTCTTAGTTCAGTTTCTTTTGAGGTTGTGTATTGAATCTTGATTCTGATTCTTTTAACGCTCGATTGTTTCAGGTACGGGGCTAGCGCAAAATCCAACGATTTTGACATGTATGCTCCAAATGCTTCTTTTGAGGACCCTTTAACACATGCTCAAGGGTACGTGCTCTCATCCAACTAACTCGTCCATAGTTTTTACTCACTTTTAAATTCTCAATTTTCTTCCCTTGGCTTTTTAGGGTGAAGCAAATCAAATCAGCATTTTACTCACTCTCTAAGGTATAATATAATCTCACTCCATTCTTTACTACTATAAATGATGAATGGAGTTATCTCCATGCAAAAGTTTCGATCTCACATCATATTGTTACTTTCAGGTGTTTGGTGAGTCGAAAATAGTTGAATATCAAATTCAGGAAAACGATATCGCACCGGGGAAGAAAGAGGTTAGAATCTTCGTGTTTAAGCCTACTCGTTACAACTATGATATGAATCTTTAAGGTAACCTTTTCACTATCTAAATCAAAGAAATAACTTCTGGTAAAAAAAAACAGATACTAATAGACAACAAACAACACTACAAGCTCATGGGAAAGGACATAGACATGATCTCTCTCATTAAACTCTCTGTCGAGAACGGGAAGATCGTCCGACACGAAGACTGGTAACAACTACTAACTCCACATCCTTATTCTCTATACTTTGTGTCGTTTCATTGAACTGAATGTTGGGTAACTGATGTTATAAGGTGGGACAAGAAACCTCTGAGGAACAGAGACACGGTTAGCTTCCCATTAGTCGGGCGGTTTATGGAGGTGGGTCGAAGAGGTATGATGCTAGCTACTCATGCCATGATGGGTTTTGGTAAAGATCCTGACTCACGCTAAAACAAAGGAGACCGATCCATCGGAAACAAAAACAGAATATTATTTAGTGTCCAGACTCTTCAAAACACTCCTTGCTTTTGAGGAACTTCTTCCATCTGTTTGGTTTATGTTAATGTGTTGTTGGTTTTTAGCTTGTTACGTTAAGATACTGTTGTTATATGGTATAACATCCGGATACTCACCAAAATTCTCCACAAGAACACTGACCATCACTGAAATGGTGAAACCTATTAACATCTCTAACAATAATATATCTTCTCGTAGCCATTGATGCAGACTTCATGAACTCATGACAGTCCACACAGATCCTCAGGTTCTTCATGATCGTAACACTAGAACCCTCTGGCAAACACATTATACCAAAAACCAAAGCGAGCTTCTCACTGTGCTGCATCAGAAGCTCTTCTTTCTTCCTTTCCTCCACGTCGTGCAGCTCATGTTCTATTCTTGGTTTATATCCAAACTTCCTCAATTCGATTACAAGATCGTCTAGCTTCAAACAGATCTCACGGATTCTCGGATGACCACTCTCTCCAACACTGAAAATATGGACCTTGTCTTTGATCTCAACCCAACTTTTTCCTCTCACTTTCTTCACTTCACTGTCTCTGAGAAGCTTTCTTGATTTGGAGATTTCTTCCCACTGTTTATTTGCTGCGTATATGTTTGATAGTAAGACGTGATTACCAGCATTCTCTGGCTCTAACTCAAATAGTTTCTTAGCTGCAACCTCTGCCAGCTCGAGATTCTTGTAGACTCGACAAGAAGCAAGAAGAGAGCCCCATATAGAAGCAGTAGGATCAAAAGGAATAGACTTTATTAACTCATACGCTTCAGACAACAGTCCAGCACGACCAAGAACATCAACCATACAAGAATAATGAACCACATTAGGCAATACACCATACTTGCTTCTCATGAACTTGAAAAACCTTCTTCCTTCCTCCACCAAACCGGTATGAGCACAAACCGATAACAAGGAACTAAAAGTAACCTCGTTTGGTTGCATACCATCTTGCTGCATTTTCTCAAACAAGATCATCACTTCTTTGGGACGAGCATGCTTTGCAAACCCTGAGATAATCGTGTTCCAAAGCTCAATATTCTTCTCTTCCACTTCTGAGAAGATAACATAAGACTCTCTCAAACTTCCACATTTAGCATACATGTCTACAACAGAGGAAGCGACAAAGACATTAGTAGCATACCCGGACTTGTGTATAACACTATGCATCTGTTTCCCTTCTATTAATGCTGCCAGATTCGAGCAAGCGCAGATTACTGAAGATAATGTGAACTGGTTCTGCTCTAGGCTCATTCTCTGACCTTTACGGTAAAGAAGCAAAGCCTCTTCGTAACTTTTGTTCTGAACATAACCTGCTACCATTGAACTCCATGTAACTGAGCTTTTGTCCTGCATAAACTCGAAAACCTGTACAGACTCCTTGATCATCCCGCACTTTGCGTAGAGATCAAGCAAAGCAGTTCCAACGTACACGTGCGTGTCAATACACGCTTTGAGCGACAAACAATGCAGTTGCGTGCATTCCAAGGCATCACAGTTTACCCCACAAGCAGAAAGAACACTCGAGATCGTGAATTCACTAAACTCAACTCCTTCTTTCCGCATCTCCAAAAACATATTCAACGCTTCTAACTCCATTTTTTTCCGTGTGTACAAACCAATCATGGTGTTCCAAGAAACCAAGCTTCTCTCACGCATTCCATCGAACACTTTGCGTGCAAGCTCCACGAAACCACACTTGGAATAAGAATTGATAAGAACATTCAACAGAGTAACATCATCTCCATGTGACCCAAGACGGATAATCTTCCCATGACAAGCTTTAGCTTCCTGAAAATCTCCATTTCTACCACAAAGCTGCAAAATTTCGATAAAGTCCGGAGCTTTTGCCACGTTACGATTCGGAAACTCATCGTTACATCGTTCTTGAGCAAAACCCTCTTCCTCATAAGTAAGCAATACAGAGGAGTTTCTAGAAATGGGACTCGCGTGGCTTCTACTGGGTAAGATTCTGCATTGTCTCAAGAAGTTCATCGTATTTTCTTCATTAGTTTGAGAGGGAGGAGATAAATTACAAAAGGGGTTTAATCTTTTACCCAGATATGGGCCCTAAGATCAGGCCCATGATTTATTCGGCCTTAGACTCGTTACTCGCCTCGTTTTTTCAAGTACTAGTCCTCGTTAAATCGAATATCAAATAGTAAAATTTAAATACTTGTAAGTACAAACAAATTAAATAACAAATTTATAAAAAAAAATCAACTACTCGACTTGATACTACTTATTACTTGCTTAAAAAATATGTTTTTGTTATTGTGTAAAATAAATAATATTTCATTAGAAATATTTTATATTTTTCTTTTTTCTTATTGTTTATATTATGTACAAATAATTTATTTATATTAATTTCGTGTTTATTCCTTGTACAACAACAAAAATAAATTCTTATTTTCATTTTTTGGTATAATATTATTCTGCAGTAATTTTTAAATACTTAAAATTACATTTATGTTACTCATAAATAATCACAAGTAACTCATAAATATTCATACGTAACTTATAAATATTCACAAATAATAAGTAATAAAATAATACAATTAATTTTTTTTTAATAAGTACTCACAATAATAAATATTCATTTTTTACAAATCAAGTACAAGTCAAAATTTTACTCGTACAAGGCAAGTATTGCTAAAATAGCAAGTAACCGCCTTGTGACCAGCTTTATTTCTCATATAAAAGCATTTCAAGTATAAGTATTTGCTAAAAAAAAGCATTTCAATCCCTATAAATCCTAACTAGATTTTGAACCCGCACATCCGTGCGGGTAATTTTTTCATTTTATAAAAATATAACAAAATATTTTAAATATATGATTTACATTTTATTGTTATATCTTGTATAACTATATAATCTTATTATTTTAATTATTTTATATAATATATTGTTGTAAATATTTTTTAAAAAATCATATATATTTTTTTAGATAATGTATTTGTTGTGAGTTACAAAAATATATGTTGACATTTTTGTATAAAAATATTACATGATTCAAAAAAAATTAATATGCTTTAACAGTGAATAAAAGAAACTTTTAAAATAAAATATTTTTATTTACCAATTTAATATATTTTTATATTCATTCCACATAGCATTTTTATTTTAGTATAAGATAGAATATCATTAAATTATAAAATATACCAATTTTTATCTTTAATTAACATTAATATATATATATATGTATATATTAATCACGAAATTAAATAATATATATTTTATTAAAATATTTAAACTTCTTAGTAAGATCCTGTTAGATATTTTCTCAACAGATTTTATTATAAATGAAATTAAAGTAGAAATTTATAGTCAAATTTGATTTATTTGATTAATTAATATAAATAATCAAATATGTCATATTAATGAAATGGTCTAAAATGACTTTTGTGTAGTAGATTTAAATGGTACTTCTCTTTTAATATAGAAGATAATATCAAAATTTATAATATTTAAATATAAATTAATTATATAACTAACTTTTAGTCTAAATCTATGAAAATGTATCAGCTTCTTTTGTTTTTTTGGTCAAGTAAAAATGTATCAGATTCTAAGAACCAGAAATATATATATCTTAATAAGACTAAAAAATCATCTCCTTTTTTGAGCAAAAACTAAAAGATCATCAAAACTGAAAAACCATGGATAGAAAGAGAGTAAAACTTTCAGTTTAGGACACTAAATCTCGAATCAAAAGAAACAATAAACATTTCAAGAAACAGCAACTCTTTTGTCCCTAAAACAAAAAAACAGCCAATCTAAAGATCTCTCTTGATTGAACAAGAAGAACCTCCTCAGAACCTTCTTGGTGGCCTGTTAAAAGCAGGTGCCACAGCCTGTGGCTCAATCACAGAGACGCCGGCAACATCAGACATGCCAAGGGAAGCAAGCATCTCTAGAGTCTCCTTGTCGACCTTGATCGCATCGGTCTTGATAGCAGACTCATCGGGGACAAAGTCCATGCGGCGCTCACGCTCTTCCTCTTGAAGCTTGAGTGAGATACCACGCACTGGTCCCTTCTGGATCCTCTTCATGAGATGAGTGGAGAATCCAGCAATCTTGTTGCGGAGACGTTTTGAAGGGATGATTGCAACTTCTTCGAGGATCTTCTTGTTGGTGTGGAAGTCTAGTGTCATGCGAGAGTAGTACTTCTCGATGACCTGACGAGATGATTTCTTCACTGTCTTGGTTCGGACACGCCCCATCTTTCAGTTGTCTGAAACTTACTTTACCTGTCTTGTAAGAGTACAAGAACCAAAGAGAAACTCAATGTCTTAGCAAGAAATCATTAAAGTAGTTATGTCTTAGTGTTATTATCTAAATCTAAGCCATTAGCGAATCTAAGCAAAACCTACATTCTACGCCTTTCACAGATAAAACACAGATCAAAAGCTTTATGGTTCCTATGTGTTCCTCGATGATAAAGCAATTTTTTTAGGTTAACCAGAACGTACCTGCTGGGAAGATGAAGCTGCGGCAAAAATGAAGCAGTGACGGAAGAGATTTTTTTGCCTTTCGTTATAAATAAGGTTCCCTCGTTAGGGTTTAGCTTTTATTCAGCTTACTGGGCTCTAACATCAGGATCAGGACTGTATTTTTATGGGCCTAAATATAAATCAATAATGCTTAGCTGAGGCCCATTAGATTAAAGGTTAAGATCCTCTTTTCTCAAGTTTCTGGGCCTATCTACACAATCAATGTATCAAAGTGTAGTATTAGGGGGGGGGGGGTTTGTATTCAATTTAACATTTGATTTGATGTGATTTGATTTTTAATGGGGTTTTAGATGATTTCAATAAGTTGCAGAGATTTAGGTATTTTTTTGTTAAACTACTCTAGAGATCACCTAAAACCATGAGGTTGAAATTTGAGTTATTTTAACTAAGATCCACCCTAAAATCACATCAAAACTTTAAAATTTCACAATTTAAAATAGTTTCAATAACATTGGATTTCAGAATACTTTACGTAATATCAAATTCAATTGATTTTAAATAAATTTTTAAAAATTTATGTTTGAATAACAGTAAATTTTTCATTTTAATATAAATCACCTAAAACTCTCGGTTGAATATATTCCCCATAGAGTTTTCATTTCTGAGTTCAACCACTTTGTTTCTTGAAAATACAAAGGTCTACTACGCAAACAAATCTTTAGGCTACTTTGGTCCCCAAACAAAACAATTCAAGTGGGTATAATTTATTGTGTTATGTTAAGATAATCAATTAGGCTGTCAGTTAAAGTCAGACTCAGAGTGTTAATTTATGAAGAATTTATCTTATTTTATCTTCAATTATAAAAATTAATTGAGTTGTTGATCTAATACAATTGGTGAAAGAATATACATATAAAATCTGCGAATCCATATTGTATGATTAGGAATGTTGAATAATGTCTAAGACCAACTTGAGGACAAGATTTTCACATCATGGAATGGAAGCTATTGCAAGTTGCCAATAACTTTCCTGTTTAATGAGAATCTAATTAAAAAGTCTTGAGTCTCATCCTTCTTGTTATTTTTCCCTCTTGCGGTTTTTTTTGGTGATTCTATTATTAAATATAATTAAAGATCACAATGATTCGTAAAGCGAATGTCAAAGCTTATGAGAAGTTGAAAAAAAAATCTTTGATGAAAATGTCAACAAAAAAGTGAAAACAATTAGATTAATACCTATATCTAGCTCTGGACTAATGGACTCACTAGCTTCTGCACAACTTGCCTTGATTGTGCCTTGAATGGTTTTAAAGAGGTTGACATTTTTGTGGTCCCGTTCTCTTCTGAATCATGATTAGGTTATAGGCTTTTTCATCTACTCTATTGCATCTTACAAGTCTAGTCTCAAATTATACTACACACATAACTTTCTTTTTGTTCAAATGCTACAATACTTTTGTCCTAATTCCAAACCATTTTTAAATACACCCTTTTTCATTGCCGTCCAGGATATAGAAAAATGTGCGTCGTTGTTATCCTCAAAGGATCAATATATTGGTAATCCAATGTAGAATCCAATATTAAGATTTGTGATTAGGGTTGCTCAGAAAAAAAAATGTGATTATTAAGGTCTAAGGAACATTCAAAAGAGGACACTCACACTTAGACTTGAATGGAACTTATGGTGATGGAAGGAAACTCATGATTTAAGTAAAGTGTTGTTTCTAGAAAGACATCAAATCTATGTATTGCCAATAGAATCACATCTTCTTATTGGTAGAATATTTTCTGAAAACAAATCTATAAAAATATAATAAATTACATGAAAGTAAAAAGTTTCTAAATAGGTGAAGATCTTGAAAACATTGAGCTATTGTTGGGTGGGCCCTATCTCTAGGAATATAGTCACCAAAAAAGAGAGCCAGAGAGGGAATATAAGCAAGTGTCGTCTCCCACTTAAACACACTTATTTCAGATTCGGGATGTATATCATCCACTTAGAAATAAATAAATGTAGTTATGTGTATTAATTATATTAATCACATTGCTCACGTAATTATTGGGAGTGTTCAATGAAAGAATAATTGGACTGATTTGATTATTCGATTAAGATTTACAGATTCGCTCCTGACTTTACACAGTCCTCTGCAAGAAAATATTAGAAAATAAAGAACTAAAGTATAAACTAAACTAGAAATGAAAACATATTTAACAAACCAAAACTTTTAGAGCATATACTTTGGTTTGTAGCGAATGAACGGTATAGGAAATACTGCAGAATATGTAATATATTGTCGTTCATTTAATATTGAAGTTCATAGAAAACACGATATAATGTTCTCTAAACTAAAGTAACATATATTAACACTTGAAATGGTACTAAAAATGTCATTTGGGTCGATATTTATGAACATGACTGATTATATATACAGCCTTTTATATTTGGGAATATTTAACACTAAGAAAGCTAAATTATTTATTGATCACTAGACATTAACCTCGTAAGTGTATAAAGGCAAGAACATCCCAACTTCGTATAAGAATATTTATTATAAGAACTATAAATATTGTTTATGAGAATTTCTCTCGGACGGAGCGGATCAACCGATAGGATTTATAAAATAAATAAAAAAACAAAATGAATGTAGTATATATCCTCAAGTAATCATAAACATGTGATCGTGGAAAAGAAAAAAGAAAAAATGTGATATTGTTGGATTTGAAGCTTAGGATAAAGGCACGTATGTGTGGCCCGTGATAAAGATGGGGACCCTTCGCTATCAATTGTATGCCATCTCTCGTATTCATGAGAGCCTAACGTATCCATTTATTAAGGGAGTGTATCACATAACTATTTCATACCGGATCTTGCCTTATACGATTGACAAAGATTGATGTTTAAATGTCGTTATCTTCTTTGTCGGGGAGGTTTTACTTATTAATATATGAATTAGTGAAGTGTTTAAAAGTTTAATTGTTTTGTTGTTTCCTACTCAAAGGTTTATAGGGCTGCATAAGAAAAAGAATATATAGTTGCAGTGGACTTTGATTTTCTTTGCAGAATCTCAAAGTGATAACATTAAAAGAAAGGAATATATCATATATAGCGTATCAATTTTGTACAACTTTTTATTTTATTTTTTGTAAAATTGTTGTATGTATACAGTCACTAAAGAAAACTGTCATGCATATATATTTCTGTCACATATATTTTTTTCTGCCAGAAATAAATTCACAGTCGATAAACTATTTTCCCCAAAAGTTAAGATTAATTAACGTTCATTAATTATTTCAAAACCCCCTCCTTTGAAAAATAGAGAGTTTAATTACATAAGCTAATTTTTCAGAAAGCACACTAAATAATTCACATTTTTTCACACTTCTGTTAGTTCCTTCAAGACTAGTCCATCTTTCACACCAAAAGACCCATTCGCTTCAGCGTCAGAGCTAGCATGAACACCATAAAACAAATACACAAGCACGATCAAACCGGAAAAGAACCCAAACCGGATGTATGACGGTGCATCCAACGAACCGAGCAAGAATATGTTCAAGAAAATCGACACACACGGGGTCCACGGCATGAACGGGACACCCCATAACTCAGGTTTGTTCGCCTGAGGGACCAAGAAATGGAAAATCAGCACGATGGCTATAGCCACCACTGCACTGGCACCGAGCATGAAAGCCTTGAGCTTCCCTTGTGGCGCAAGTTTCCAAATGAGTGTGAAGACAAGAGATGTTACGGAGAATAGTGTCAGGAAAGAGAGTGTCGGCCATGGTTTGGTGGGTCCTATAGGGACGTAACGCCTGAAAATGAGAGCGTTTGCGACCATGTAGAAGACGAATAGGGTTCCGATGGATACTAGGTTTAGTAGGATGTTAAGGTCGGTGAAGAGGGCAAGAGCCGCCGTGAAAATGCCTAACAAAACAATAAACACACATTAATAAGACTGATTAATTAATAGATTATTCCAAAGGCGACAAAGTCTAGTTGAAAATCAAATTGAAGATAGTAGTGGGGGAAATGATTTGATTTGTTTTGTCTCTTTTGTCAAAGTGAAAAAAAGAAAAGTTAATGCTTGTTGATAAATATAGCAAATTTGAGCTAGTGGGATGCTAAAATTGGTAAGGATAAGGTTGGACGCTAATGACCCTTAATTATAACGATCCACTTTGTGACAATGTGAATAGCTTTATGAGAAAACCAATTTTTATGCATATATATCATATGGATAAAACAAAAATGTATGGCTCACAACAATGATCTGATCACTTAAATCATATGGCAACTAAAATTGTGTATTGTTGATTGTCATGACTAAGATATAACCATTGAGATACTGCCAATATATTTCGAATATTTCTTCCATGAATTTTCAAAAATATCTCCACAGTTTTTTTTGTTTTTATAATGATATGATGATGATTAGTCGGCCAATGGATGAAGAAACTCCTTATAATTATCCAACAAAAGTGGAATATGTGTTTTCAACACTAAGGGAACACGAAAAAGACCAAAGAGACCCACCAAGCAATATATCACAATCAAGACCGTTGAGAAAGACTGAATCTTTTGGAAGCTCAGAACTTTACACAGAGCAAAAAAGAATGGTGAACATGACATCTAGCCATCGTACTCAGATGCTCTCTCTGTCTCAAAGTTTTTTTAAAACTCATGAGACACCACAAAACCATGACGTCCCTACGTTTACTATATACCTTGTACACACATCTTGTCACGATCAAGATCGATAGAGGAAAGATTTTTAAAATGGTCGTATCCAAAAGTTTTGATTTTCAAATATAAAAGTTGAAATGGACACGTATATAGATAATGTAATCACGCGGATGGTATGATCTTTGAGAAAACGTTAAAACATCAAATCAAAGATGGAAGAAAAAAAAAAGATCATGACAACAACTGAAACGGTTCTGGGTTCCCTTTCTAACCTAACTGCTTGCCTCTATCTCACTTTATAAA